CCTTTTCTTTCTGATGAAATGTGCCATCACATTTCAAAAACTCTTTGTTGTATCAGCAATTCTAAGCAGTGATGTAAAACAGTCAGACTGCGATGCCAAAAACTTTATTCCAAAGCACGGAAATGGACATTAGGGTAAAAAAACACCATAAAAAGGCCATGTGCGTGAATGGATGTGTGAACTATTGCCATTGGGTTAAATAATAAAACAATGCTTAAAACTATGATTTCTAACTACAGAACCCCAAGAGGTATCAAACAAAAGAAGAGGCTGAACAAAAGAGCACAGTGAAATGGCAAAGGGCAAAACTCTTCAAGGCAAAAAACACAACAAAACATACTGCAATGATTTTACTTCTTTGTTTTACTGTTAAATCTCTTCTCTGGCAAAAATCCTCAAACTCTCAATGGCTTGACCTGTTGAACTATGTATTTTACTTTGCTAATTACTTCATCATCATGTACCGTTCTAAACAATCAGCTTCATCATTGATGCCTTTTATGATGGGTGTAGATACAAGAAGAAAAAGTGACTAAACGATGTCTGTACAGAAGTTACAGAAGACCTGGCATTTTTCCTGGCTGGGGTTCATTGACTACACTGACGGCCTTCATTATTTTATCTTCCTGCCTTTGAAAGGAGCTCTGATTATTGACCTGTCATGTCTTCGTTTATGTGGAGAGAGTTTATGTGAAATGGCAGTCAGTTTAAGTGAATGACAAACTGCAGATTATTCTCCTTGATCGTCAGAACGCATCTCAGCAGGTGAATGGTGCTCATGGCTAACAGTGAGCCTGCGGTGCTTACAGATAAATGTCTTAGCAGGCACTGGAATGGATCCTAATGTTGTAGTGAGAAGAATTACTGAGGAAAGTAAAAATCAAATGTGTGAAAAGCATCATAAAAACTATATTAATAATGTAATATATAACATTATAATAATTATAAATATAAGTTAAACTCAGGGCTGCAAACATGCGACAGGTATGAACAGTAGCAGGACAAAAGTATTACTTCAATGTAGAATATAAATTTTATCCAAAATAGCCATCTATTAAATAGCTGTGAGTCATGTGACTCAGAGAACACACATGTTTTAAACTGAAGAGCCCTGGAACATGTAACACCACTCAAAAACACATGGGAAATGAAAAACCTATTCACACTGGACCTGCTGATTCATGTGCTCAACACCAAACAACCAAGAAAATGTCAAAGAAAATCTTTGTGGAGGTAACGCATCATGGGAAGGCTATTTGGCAACTAAGAATATATGTGTAGATGATCGTAGACCTTATGGTGTGGTATAAAAGCAATATTTTTTTCTATTTTCTTTGAGGCGTCACCAAAGCATAGCAGGTCTCACACAAACTTGACTTTTATGACCAAACCATTATTGAATATATTGGTATTTATTCATTTTAAATGGTGTTTTATTTGGACCACCCTGCTTACTGTTATTGCACATGTGTCAAACTCAGGCCCGGGGGCCAAATCTGGCCCACAGTGTAATTATATTTGGCCCGGGAGATCATATCAAATGTGTACTAGAGTTGGCCCGCCAGTATAAGTTTGACACCCTTGTATTATTGGGACAATGAGCCACACATTGGTGCCCACGAGGGTCATATTCAGAGGTTTGACTCTCTGGATACTTTTAAATACTTCCAAGGTGATGGTACAGGACCAGAGGCAGAACAGGCTTTGGGCCAACAGAAAGATCCAGGTCAGCGCACCCTCTGTAAGTGACTGTTATTAATTCCCACTCTTCACTTTATCTGCTGCCATTATTAAAGGAACTCCTCTCCAAATGTTGATGACGGGCACAAAGGATATGGAAAAAGTACTGATATTTTTGGCTGCATTGAGTTTAAGTCCATCTACAGTCCTAATACAGTTAGGCTGGAGTTTCCACTTTGGTTTCCACTACAGCTAATGTTGGATTTCTCTTTAAAAGGCTACAGTTTTCAGCGATTACCTGCAGAGAAGTGCAAGATATTCATTTAAAAATAACCTTTTTTCCTAAGGTTATGCCATATTGTACTAAGTATATGGTTTAATTTATTTCTACTTGTATTCAAGTCCAAACTGGTCATAAAAGTTCACCTCACAAACTCTTGCATCATGACAAACTTAAAACCTGGAATTACAAATGCAAGATTTCCCCCATTTCTCTGACAATATTTTTGTTATCCTAAAAAACCTCAGCACAAACACACACCCCCACGTCTTCCTCCACACAGCCAAAAATGCTGACTCTCCTAATCAGCAGTGCAGAGAGTGTGAATCAGTACATTGATGATGCGTCACCTCTGAAAGATTTAATTTCATAAGGTACATTTCAAGGCTGATATTTTGTCTCATTGGCCCTGACCTTGGCTTTGGTAAATGTTTCAGGCAGATTGATCGATTTCCAAATATGTTGGTATTGGTTTTTCATTTTTTTAACAAACCCTTTTAGGTCAAGGCTTTAAAACTTTTCTTTGTTGTATCTTACAAAGACAAACTACGAGATAAAGTAGGAAATGGGATCTCACTGTAAGACTCTTCTGTTAAAATGTGAATGAGAACACCAGCGTTTGCTCTTTCTCCACAATGTTAAAGACTGGAAACATGACTCAGAGAGATCCACTTCACCGCCGTAAAAAAGCCACTACAACATGAGACCTCAGGCGAGACACGAGTGTTGACATGCAAGGTAACATGGAGTGGAACGTAATACTGTGTAAGTACCACAAATGATACTTTGAATAATGCAATACTCTCTACAATGAGTGACATGCATTCAGAGGTTTTTGTTTTGTTTTTTTTACATTTGTGTAAGTAAATGAAATGTTTATTGTGTGAATTGCTAATTTATAGTAACATTTGTTTTATAATTAGCATTTCAGTAGGTAGCACTAGCAGGGTATATAGTCATTAATATGTAAAAAATGGCAGACCCATATATACATTCTAAGCAAAAGAAACTTATTTAGTGTTTGTGAGGGTAGAAATGATCAGCCATGACTAACTCCTGCTTAAATGAATCCATGCATGTTAAACACCAGGATTTCCTGGATTAACATGGATTGAAAATGTAACTTTTGTTCACCAATCTGTACAAAAGCTCTGTAATATTAATTCATGCCAGACCAGACTAATACTGTAATAGTTTCGGCAGTTTCATGCAGTACATTGTACCTCGTCTGTACTGTAATCTGTACATATGGGACTACAGTAATTACATCATCATCATGTCCTGTGGAAAAAAGAAAAAGTGTGGACAAGCAAAATGTCCCTCGCTGAGAGTCAAGAACAAGATGTCAAAGACGTATGCAAACACAGATGCAACTGTTGCATACAAAGTGAGCGGATGCTCAACATCCAAACTATTTTATAACTTTCAGGTGCTGTGCTGACTGGAGCAGATGGTGCCTGTGAATTTTCGCTATAATACACACACACACACACAGCCGGAACAGCATTCCACTGCAGTAGCATCTGCATCCCAAGAGCAACTTAAGACAAACAGTCACCTGCTGGTATCTTAGCAGCAAAAGGTGACGAAACCTTCTGGCCTGTCACAGCCAACGTTACTAAAGCGAAGAGGGATCTTATCTTAGGCTTTACACACACACACACACACACACATATATCTATCTATATATAGATATATAGATATATACATTCCTAAATATAACTTCTCAGTATATTACTAGAACAGATTTCCTGACACATGCACAAAGGAAATTAAAAATCGCATAATGATCCTCCAGTAACCTGAACATGTCCCTAATGACAGAAGCTACCTAGCTTTAAGACAATTCAGAGAAAAAGCCAATGCCTGAGCGGATGTCAGGGTTTAAGGCTTAATTCTGTTGGTAATCGGGGACAAAGGACATCTGTAATTACTTTGTCTCCCCAGTGGGCGATGGTAGCAGCTCAACAGCAGCTTCCCATTAGGATCCTGCCACAAATGACTAGGGACCCACAATTTTTTGTCTTGTGTGCTTTATTGGGAAACATAAATCAAAACAAGTTAAAAAAGATGAACTAATTCAAATAAATCTAATTAACCATTTTTAATATTTCCTAATCTTAACTTTAAAAAGTTAAGAAAATTAGCAGTGTATAAATGCAGCTTGTGAAGGAAATAAATAATAATTATGGCGAATGGAGTTGAACTGTGATGACAGAAAATTGATTTTCATAGCATTGTAACTGTTTAGTGAATAAAACTGCTTTTGACATTAATGACAGTCTTTTTTTCAGTATGCAGTGTGTGATTTATGCTCATTTAAAAAAAATACACATTTTAAACAATCCATACTTCATTGGAATCGGTGTCATAGATCTTCCATCCAATTTCAATCATTAGCTATATATTAGTATCACCTATGCATAGGTGTCCTGAAGAACTGCTCACAATTCTAGTGCATCTACAGACAGGCGTCATCATCTAATGAGCCCAACGAAAAAAATCAATTTCTGTCTCCTTGAAGGTCAAACTAAGGTAAATCAAAACTGCAATTCACAAAATGCACAGTTGGAAACTACAAAGCTTTTCTCCCGTTCATAGTTTTTGCAGCCCTCAAATGACATTATCTTCTAGAAGACACCCATCTGCCAGTTTTATCGGCTTCCACTCTGATGTGATTTTACTGTTGTATCCTGACAGAGTCTGGTGTACTGACACGACACCCGCTCCTATCTCATTGCCTTGGATCCAGGCATGATAATACCTCTCTCAACATGCTGGGCCAACACAGGTGTCAGATCTTTCTTCCTCTCTTCCTCTATCTCTCTCAGCTGAGAAAGTTAATCTGCAATTCAAACACACTTGCTCTAAGCCGATCACAACCAGAGAGCAGGCTTCTGTTACTGTCACCGCTGCTGTAAGGTGACTCACCTGTGCACCTGGATTCCTAATGCTGCTTCATCATGACTTCTGGGATTTCACTGTACGCAAGTCACAGATATAAATAACTGTGGCCTGATGCTAAATAACAAGGACTTACAGTGCGGGGAGCAAAGCCGGCGTGACGAGCCTCCAATCTAGGAGAACCTTTGAAACCTCCTCTGTCTGCGTATGCTTCTCTTCATGAAGGGTAGCTTCATCTGTGAAATGAGAATGCAAATCATATTCTGTAAGTGAGTTTGAACTGGCAGGGCAGAACATTCAATTCAGTTCAATATTACATACAGGGGAGAAAAAATGGAGGAAAGTGAGGCATGTCTCATGTGCCTGTGGACTCACAGTATAAACCTGCAGTCTGTAATACAGAAGGAGAAAAATGTACAAGAAACAGGTTTGGGTGTAAGGATTAAGATTTGGAGATTAGGAATATCAACCAGGAATTGATCTTTGGACACAGTGGTGGATCCTAGTTAACCATTGTGTTTAGAACTTTTACAGAGAATTGTTAAAAAAAAAAAAGACGACATATTTATCTGAGCCACAATATTTCCCTTTCTTCTACAATACTTTGGCAATGGCCTTCCAGACTCTAAGACCCTCAAATGACCTTAAGTAAGAAGACAGGATGTCACACCATGTTTAGGGATGTGAATATAGAAACCACACGTCAGCTGATGTGCATATCTGTTTGGAAGTTGTTTAGTCGGTTTGATTGTTTTACCATCAATCACAGCGCCACCTCTCTGCCAGCAGAGACCACTCTCTTGCTTTTACCCCCACCCTAACAGCAGACCTCCGGAGGCGGAGGCCAGGTGAAGCCAGCTGTTCTAAAGCATGCAACTGATGCAAAATGCTCTTTAGCTTTGATTCTCCTGACAGCAGACCACAGTGGACGGATGCTAGGTGAATCAGACTCTCCTAGTGCTGCCGCCTTCCTGTCACTGGGGCTATCACAGACCATTCTCTACTTTTTAAAATACGTATGCATCTGTACATACGTATTTTATTCCCTCAAAAAGATAAATTATATTAGCCAGTTATTTTGAACGAGCATTCTGCATAAGTAAATCAAATGATGATGTAAAGTAATAATGAAAAGAAAAATCAACTTCTTGCAGATTTATAAAAAAATGCCACTTTTTTGCCACAGTGCACTTTGCTCCTCTGAAAAAAAAAATGTCTTAATATATTCAGGCAAAGCTTAATATAGACCAAGTCATTAAAGACAAATTAAATCAGTGCCAGGCCTGGTCTGACAGTGTTTATTTTTAGTTATATGCCATCATATAATGATGCTTCAGATGTGAAGACATCTTTGATGTCTGACAAAAAACTGTTGTGTGAATGTCATCACATCTGATGCTTCGATAAACAAGCCCCTGTCAATCTGTGGATGAACAGAGCAGTCACTCAATTCATAGGATTTAATCCCATATCCCATAAGACTTTGCGGTCTTTTTTAGAGTTCCACACTTCAGAGTTTAAGTATGTAGTAGTGACACTGAGCTTTATAGTAAACTGTCATGTAGAACGGGCTTTTCAGTTCAGAAAAAAATGTATGAAATAATTATTTATTATTATTAATTATCTATTAATTACTTTAAGAGACCAACTCAATGACATTGTCATTGTTTTCAGTTCATTTCGGATGTAAAGCTTTCAGATATGAACCTATGGCGTGGATCATAAAACCTATATTTTTTTCCACGTAAGGCTAAGATCTTTCTATCCGCTCCATTACTATGAATCCAATGCTATTTGCGATCCTGTTCTTGGCCCTTTTTGAATACTAAAACTTAATGTTTCATCTGTCCCTGTATTAGAGCAACCTTCTCCATACCAGTCCTAACCCCTGAAAAAGAGAAAAAATATGACTTCCATCCATCAGCTTATCTTTCTTGACCATCTGGCTTTTTATTTTTACCCACTAGAAAATAAACAAACAAAAAAAAACATGTCCTTGTTTTGTCTCAGCTACACTCAGGCGTGAAATACAATTTCTACTCACTTAGAATCTTCACCAATCGCTGACCAGGTAATTAGTGGCTTCTTTCACATAAAGAAAAATCCAAGTTTAAGGTCATTTCTAGGTGATGTAAATCTTTCTAAAGCTTTCAGAAACTCTCGTCAAAGACATTTCTTCTCCTGAGAGGGATTTAAATTTTTACTTTCAGACCAAAACACCAGGTAAACAATATTTGAAGAGTAAAAAGGGGATTTTTTTTTTTCTCTATAAATCAGAGCTTTAGAGATGGAATTTTTCTTTGATTGTTTACTGAGTGAAACAATTCCTATGAGTCCTGACTAAAATTTATATAAATCTTTTCAGCTTGTGAGAGATTTTGACCCAATGTTCACCACTGACTACAGGTTTCTACATGACTTCGACCTTCAGCAGTTAATAACAGGGAAAACGGGGATTGTAAATCCGCTGCCTATCTGAGGAAACACAAAGCAGACGTGGCCTCAACACTGGGTTTAATTAGCTGATGAGTTCAGAATATTAGAACGACTTAAGCCACCCTTCCTCACTAATCAAGAGTCATAAGCCGTGCTGGGGGATCCAGGCACTGGAAATAAAAAGCCATTTGTGACACTTCATTACTACTATTTGTCCAGATTCTACACTGCCCTGCTTGCTAGCTGCCAGACCTTGGGAAAATCCATTATCAAATCACAATCACAGACAAGTGAGGCTGATAAAGCACAGCCTTCGGCACATTCTCCTGTATCAGATATGAATTCACATCACTGCGGCGAGAGACCAAACAAGCAGCAGCAGAATAAAATTAACCAAATGAACCGAAATTCAACTGGCGGCATTGTGACTCCCTGACAATAAGTGCACCAGCTGGTGGACTCATTTGAATTCCTTCTCATATTTCCAGCAGAACATAAAATTCTGGCTCCACTAAAGATAGGAGGGATGAGTAAGCACATAACTCAGCTGAATACAAAAGGAAGAGAAGGAAGGGATACGTCATGCAGACAGTGTCTGGGAGAAGGTTCGGTGGAAAATCTGTACACATCTGGGGGAGGGAGTTGTTGTTGTGAGTGTGTGTGCTCGACCAAGCAGCAACAGGAATTACATTTTGCGTTACCTCCTAGCGTAAGACATTAGAGCGGTGCTGATGATGTAATAAATATGAATATATTATATTATATTTTTTTGTTTTTACTAGACAGTAGACAGAACGTCTGCCTCTTCCTTTACAGTAACTGAATGAATGAAAGGAAATTAGAGTGACAGATAAATGTCTTATCTATCAAACGACAGGGTTCGTTCCACTGCCTGAGAGAAAAGGTCTGGCCTACATCGCACCGTTAACAAATCAGAATGCGTGTTTCTTCATGTTTCTTTGACGAAACATCTGTGTTGGAGATGCGATCGAGCAGAACTGGATCTCGTTACCACAACTGCAGTTCATAGCAGGCACAACTGTAGTATTGATTCAGACAGTATTTATTAGCTTAATTGGAGTGACAAAACTGACGGTGTAAAGAGCTCGTGCAGATCAAACTGGATTTTATGAAGGGCCTTGGTGAGAACAGCAGCAATAGTAGGATAATTGTGGGTCAATTAAAACACTTTTCCTGAAACTATGTAGACAGACAAACAGCTGGGCTTTGACTTACAGCTGACATATCACAATTACTCTTTATGGGATGTTAAACCCTCCCACAAAAAACAACGTATTTACTTATTTTAATATTTAATTTGCCTAAGGTTAAGTTTATGGAACTTTATACACATAATGCCTTTCGATATTGTAGTTTCAGGGTAGATTGTTTTTGTAGATATGACAGAGATTATGGTAATACTCACTGCCTCAGCGCTCTCTCTCTCTCTCTCTCTCTCTTTCTTTATATATGTATATGTGTGATTATGCATATAGTCTATGTGCAGTTTTGAGTACATGTGCAGACACGTCCCTATTTGTCTCTCAGCGTTGCATCTTTCCCCAACCTTGTCAGCCAGTGTTTGGCTTGTTCAGAGGTCTACACCCAGTGGCTCTAGAGCTCTGAAATACCCTGTGAATTCCAATCTCCTGCTGCATGACAAAGTCGAATGGATGTTCAAAGTAAAGCTTTTGATATGGTTTGTCTGTCTATAGCATGAGAAAACCTTTCTGAAAAGCGAGTGGTTCACCTTGCTAAAGTGAAAAATCAAGATTGGCTGAAAAAAACAATAGTTACTTAGACATGATGAGAGTGACGGGTCACCTTAATACCATAGATGGATATTTGTGGTTTAATTAGTTTCTTTAAACATTGAGCAGTATTACTACAAAATTACTGATTAAGATGTTTTGTTAAGACTTTACAGAATGTAAAATACCTTTCTGGGACTTCAAAGTTTTTTATACTTATTTGTAAATATGTAAAAATATTAAGTTAGGTCTCAGCGCATAGATTAAAGATGAATCAGAAAAAAAATGGCTGCCGGTCGATTTTCATTATACATGGCTGTCCCAAAACATGTTTACGCTTGTGCGAGTGTGTTTTATTGTGCCGCAGCTGTAGCCCTCTCTATCAGCCTGTCTCGACTCTCTGTATTAAACTGTAAAGGCACCGCAGGGTGCTGACGGAGCTCAAACCTTTTAGCTGACTCAATGTTTCACAGCCGTGGCCCTCTTTGCCAAACGTCAGACAGATGTATCCTCTCTCCCCTGTTCGCTTTGTTATGACCTGACCAAAGCAAAACTGCTGTTGGACCCATAAAAAGCCAAGGATGATAACGGAGAGTGATGGTGCGGCTTATTTAAGTGATGTTTCTACGGTGTAGCTGTCCAAAACTAACGCTTAAACATTAGCACCTCTGTCTTAACGTATTATTTCTATTTGAGACTGAATGCACATATATATATGAATGTAAAATATGAACATATCATTGGATCAACATTTTGTTCCAAATGTATTAATACAGAAATATGAATCAATATTTAGGTTATTCAAGTTAGTGTTAAGAATTATGTCTGCAATATATGTTTATAGTTATTTTATATATTTTTAGACAGTACTTGGGGTCCTCGGTTTAATTCACCCTCAACCTTCGGCGTTTCGTGGTTACGTAGCCATCTCCTGCCTTGTTCCGTCACTCTGACGGCAGCGTTAAAACTAAAAGAGGAGCCGGCTAATACATGAACACAGGACTATACAGTGAAGACAACTTTGATTACATGCGCCGGTTGTACGCCAT